TTTTCAGTTTTTTATTTCTAAAAACAATTTAAAGTCATGTATAATTTTCCTTCTACTTCACAATTGTGTGTCGCTTTATGTTGATCTTTTATCTAAAATGCCAATAAAATATATTTATGTTTGTGGTCGGAACGTGAGAAAATGTGGGAAAGTTCAAGGGGTATGAATACTTTTTCAAGCCACTGTATATTTATATATATTTTTTATTTGATGCTCTACCAGCATTCCCTGTGCAATCTACTGCACAGGGAACTACAATGTTCTTATTGAGCAGCCCTGTTCTAAGGTTCATGTAATACAAGCAGGAACAAGCCAGCACAATTCATGCAGCAAAAAATGCAGCAACCTTAAAATAATCACTAACCTGTGAAGACTCATTAGCCCCACTGGCCTACAAAATGGCTGTCAGTCAAGTGTGAGTGACCACCAATTTCCTTTCCATTAACATGACTGTGAGAGTTATGCCTGTGCTTTGACCTTCAGTAACTTCAGTTTAATGCACCACTGCATGCAGCTCTGACAAAGGCATGTCAGCACTGCTCCCAGCTGAAAGAAGGAGAACTTGCACTAGTGCTGTGTTTAGGGCTGTAATCAACCAAAGAAGGTTTTGGTCGACTGAAGCTGTGAAATTTCAACTGAAATTCAACTAATCACAGGGGGTCGGGGGTGGGGGGTGTGCAGTGGCTGGTAGCTTTGTTCGCCTAAATTAATTATAAATAAATATAAAGAACAGTTTAGTAGTTTAATTTATTTCAAAGGGGACAGTGCAATTTCATAAAACACATGATTACACATGGTTAAAAAGAGTTAGCCAGAAGGCTAGTATTCATCTGTAGTCCCCGGGCCATGATGTAAAAAGGCAGAGCACACAATACATGTACAATATAATACAAAATACATATACAAACATTTACTATACAATTAAAAAAGAATATGACATCACAACATAACATTTGATCATAACATTAAAACATCACAACTGGCTTATTGTTTAGTGTTGGCAGTTGTAGGTGTTGATAAGCCTTGTCTTGCTTTATAGTAAATCGTTGTGACCTAATTATTTTGCACTAAAATGAATTACACACTTGAGTCTGTAGGCTCTGAGCATTTTGCATCACGTGCCTGCGCAATATCATAGCCCATGATTTCCAAAAAATACTATGTATGTCCTTGTGTGCAAATGACATGTGCATAGACTGTGCATTAGAGCAACAATAAATGGATGGACTGTGAAATAGTGCACGTCATTCAGCCCTGCTGTAAAAATGCATTATAGATTTTATTCTGATTAATTTCAGATTATTCTACATGGTTACTTGTTACTTTTGACAGCAATACAATTTACATAAGAGTTTCAGTTATGCATTCAATATCTAGGAAAATTCTGGACATTGGTCAGCAGGTATTTCCATGTTTGGCTTAATCTGGGTTTATCTCAATTTAAAATGGTCATAAACACAAGGCATATTTACTACTGATTAATGAAGAAGAAATGAAGAAAGTGAACTACTTGTCATTGTGACACACCACACTACTGCACACAACAAAATATGACCTCTGCTTTTAACCCATCACCAAAGTGAACGGTTGGCAGTTTTAAGCGCCCAGGGAGCAGTGTGTAGAGACGGTGCCATGCTCAGAGCACCTCAGTGGTAACTTGGCAGCTGGTAGACTCCTTCCGGACCCAAGACCGCTTCCTAAACCACTAAGCCACTAATGTGTCTCATGCTGCTCATTAGACACAAATAGACATAACTATTAATTGCAAATATCAGAAGCTAAGCAGCTGCTGTTATTGGAAGATTTTTTGTGTTAACCATTTTGTGGTTTATTTGAGTGTGTGTTTTTGGTAAAAGCTGTGCTAAATGTACTAATGTTGAGCGCAGTGCTTGATGAATTATGTATTTTTCTCATCACTCTCACAGAAACTAACGTTGGGAGGGACACTGATGATATTTAGCGGACTGTTCCATTGTACCACATGAGGGGTGGTTTTAGGGGAAGGCTTGGGGGAAAACCCCTTGGATATACAGTTAGTGTCGTCAAAATCCTCAGACTACATCCAAGAACATGTGTAATTTCAAATGGAGAGTAATACAACAGGAGTCAAATGAGAGTTCTGGAGATTGTTGGCTCTCCTCTCTTATTGTCTTGTCTGCCCATGTACTCATTTGTTACTTCACCGCTTTACCACACAGTAGTGCTTCTGAAATTTAAACTGTACTGTAAACACCCTGTAAACATTGTCTACCCTGCTGTTACTTTTTTATCACCATGTAAATACTATGTCTATCCTGCTGTTTCTTTACTTTTAGTACTACATGTCTATCCTGCTGCTGTAACAAGTGAATTTCTCCGGTGTGGGATGAATAAAGTCTTGTCTTGTCCTGTCTTGTCTTATCTTATCTTAAACTGTAAAAAAAAAAAAAAAAAAATACAATACAATCACATTTTCATTACAAAGTTGTGGGCACAACAAACCATGCTGAGAGAGGGTAATGTTTGTGTGGGTGATTAGCAAGTGTGGCTTTGTCATGCAGCCACCACCTCACTACTCCACTAAGATGGCTGTGTTGGGCATTGTCACAGGTTGGTCTTTATTGAAATGCTGCTTCAACTAAAGGATGAGGCTCAATCTTTCCCTCAATTATATGGATTTCTGTCTAAACTAACTACGGCATTTTAATACTCTTCAATCCAGATAATGATGTCTCCTGAGTACCTGTACATAAATATGAATAATCCATAAAAAAACAAGAAAAAATAAACCGAAGGACCCAGATTACAAAACATGTACTGTGAGAAGGTAGGAGTTTCAAAGACAGTAAAGACAGGGAATAAGGCATTGTCTTGTTCTCCTGCAGGGGATGCAACAAGGACAGTGATAATGACAGTGTAGTGGTCTGGTACAACATAATTGTTTCATATAAATCACTTCTCATTTAATGCAACACTTCTAAGAATATCTGTCAGATTGTAATTTGTACAATATAGTAGTATTATGATGATGTTTCATATTCGATACCTTATAATTATTTTTTAAGAATTCTCTTCATTTTGAAATACACAATAAACACAGTGACAAAAAAAGGTACATTACCAACAAAGGGTAGGGCTTTGCCCTGTTGCCTGGTCAATAATACAGTATCCATAAGCTGGGCAAATTATTTGTTCAATCAGATGTATTTAATAAGTTACCAGTCTATTAATATCACCTACACTTATTTTCCTCTCTGAGGTTTGTGTTTATTTACTGCACACTGTTCCTGTGCAGCTCACATAAAGAAACATCCCACATTAGATTGAAGGCAGATAAGTGGAATGAGACTTCTGACTTGAAATGTCAAATCATTAAGGCATTACACTGCTCTAATATTTATAGTAGACGTAAAGACCTGAGTTAAGATATGCCTTTTTTTGTAACTCAGTGTGAGAAAGTGCAGTGCATGATCTAGCCAATTTTTTTTTTTTTACCATGTGGGATCTGCTCACGTGTTTCTTCAGCAGCAGTTAGCACTGTTAGCACATCTGTCAGTGTAGACCCTGTCTCTTTTCAACAGACTATTTTCTATGTGTAGGTGGAAGCGCTGCTCTGCTGCAGCTCAGCATTACTCAGTGCTGCTGACTGAGAAGAGTGATCTCATGGCCACTCTGCAGCTAGTGTAAGAACCTAGTGTATTTGAGCTGCAGACACATTGTTTGTGTTTTAAGCCCCCCCGTTGTACCTGTTTTGTTTATATGAGAGCAGAAAACAGATTTTTAATGTATTCTGTCATCTTTTCATCCATCCACTCACTGCATCTCCTTTTGTTAAGTAACTTCATACTATACTATAACTTCTCCTTCTCTGTTCTTTCTAACATTCTGTCCATCACCTGTGTTTCAGGCTGGTTATGGTTCAGAAACCAGCCTGAGGCATCATGGTTCCATGTTGTCTCTCACCTCAGCAGCCAGTGTCTTGTCTGCCACCTCCACATCCTCCTTCAAGGTAAAACGTTTTTTATCATCACTGTTTGTAATTTATTCAAAAAATTATAATGACAGTTTAAAAATTACTTTGTGGCTGAAAACCACAGCTTGTTAACTGAGATGAATATTTTTAATTTTTGTTTATTTGCATCTCTGTTTCCATTCAGAAAGGTCACAGACTATGTGAGAAGTTAGCAGAAATGGAAACCTTTCGAGACATTCTGTGCAGACAAGTGGACACCCTGCAGAGATACTTTGACTCCTGTGCTGATGCTGTCTCTAAAGATGTATTTCAGAGGGACAAAGGTAATGCATACTATTGACATCCAGATGGCACTGATACTAAATTTGATTTTTGAAACGATCAGTATATGGCAGGGTTAGCTTTGATGTTTCCTGGCAGAAATAAAAGTTCACGGAAAGAAAACTTGTTTACATGGTGAACGTGGTGTAGAAATAGTAAGAGAGTGGCTGGTAAACTGATTACAGAGGGAAACAGAAGTCAATATCCACTTACAGGGCACTTTGTGATTTGCTTTGTTTAACTTGGACTGCTAATGAGCATGTAGCTAAACTTGTATTGATTTTAACTTTAAAAAAATAGACATGGTCTTAAACATCGTTTCAGAAATGGTAAGTTATAATCTATAATCTGCATAACCAGCAGTAGATGCTTTTCCACTACATCTTCTTCTTTTTCTTTCGGCTTTGTCCCTTTTTTTCAGGGGTTGCCACAGCAGATCATTGATTTCCATCTCTCCCTGTTCTCTGTATCTTCTACTCTGACTCCAACTACCTGCATGTCCTCCCTCACTGCATCCATATATCTCCTCTTTGGCCTTCCTCTCTTTCTCCTACCGGGTAGCTCCATCTCTAACATTCTTCTACCAATGTATCCACTGTCCCTCCTCTGCACATGTCCAAACCATCTCAATCTGGCTTCTCTAGCTTTTTCTCCAAACCTTCCTGTCTGTGTTGTCCCTCTAATGACCTCATTCCTGACCCTGTCCATTCTTGTCACTCCTAAAGAGAATCTTAGCATCTTTAACTCTGCCACCTCCAGCTCCTCCTCCTGTCTTCTGCCTATTGCTACTGTCTCTAAACCATACATCATGGCTGGTCTCACCACTGTCCTGTAAACCTTTCCCTTCACCTTAGCTGACACTCTTCTGTCACAGATCACTCCTGACACTTTTCTCCAGCTGTTCCATCCTGCCTGTACTCTATTCTTCACCTCTCTTCCACAGTCTCCGCTGCTCTGAACAGTTGATCCTAAGTACCTAAACTCCTGCACCTTCACCACCTCTGCTCCTTGTAGCCTCACTATTTCACTGTTCTGCCTTTCGTTTACACACATGTACTCTGTCTTGCTGCGACTGACCTTCATTCCTCTTCTTTCTAGTGCAAACCTCCACCTCTCTAGGTTCTCTTCTAGCTGCTGCCTACTCTCACTACAGATCACAATGTCATCTGCAAACATCATAGTCCATGGGGACTCCTGTCTGACCTCATCTGTCAATCTGTCCATCACCACAGCAAACAAGAAGGGGCTCAGGGCCGATCCTTGATGTAGTCCCACCTCCACTTTGAAGTCTTCTGTCCTCCCAACAGCGCACCTCACTACTGTTGTACTATTCTCATACATGTCCTGCACCAAACTAACATACTTCTCTGCCACTCCTGACTTCCTCATACAAAACCACAATTCCTCCCTTGGCACTTTGTCATATGCCTTTTCTAGATCTACAAATACACAATGCAGCTCCTTCTGACCTTCCCTGTACTTCTCCATCAACATCCTCAAGGCAAATATTGCATCTGTGGTACTCTTCCTAGGCATGAAACCATACTGTTGTTCACAAATCTCCACTTCCTGCCTCAACCTAGCTTCAACTACTCTTTCCTAAATCTTCATTGTATGGCTCATCAACTTTATCCCTCTGTAGTTGTTACAACTCTGTGCATCACCCTTCTTATGAATTGGCACCAGAACACTTTTTCTCCACTCATCAGGCATCTTGCCAGTCTCTAAAATTCTGTTAAACAAACCAGTCAGGAAATTTACTGCCACTTCTCCTAAACACTTCCATACTTCCACTGGTATGTCATCAGGACCAACTGACTTTCCACTCTTCATCCTCTTCAGGGCTTTTCTAACTTCATCCTTTCTAACCTGATCTACCTTCTTCCTACTAGTCTCTGGCTCCTCGTTTCTACTTTCCCTTTCATTTTCCTCATTTAACAACTCCTCAAAGTATTCCTTCCATCTTCTCAGCACACTTTCCTCACTTGTGATCACATTCCCCTCTCTGTCCTTAATCAACCTCACCTGCTGCACATCCTTCCCAGCTTGATTTCTCTGTCTCGCCAATCTATACAACTCCTTTTCTCCTTCCTTTGTTTCCAAACTCTCATACAACTCCTCATATGCCTTTTGTTTGGCCTTGGCCACTTCCCTCTTCACCTCCCTTGTCCTCTCTTTGTACTCCAGTCTGTTCTCTTCTGTTCTGTCACTGTCCCATCTCTTCTTCGCTAATCTCTTTCTCTGCACACTCTCCTGGATCTCCTCATTCCACCACCAGGTCTCTTTGTCCTCCTTTCTCTGCCCAGAGGACATACCTAGCACCTTCCTACCTGTCTCCCTCATCACTGCAGCTGTAGTCTCCCAATCATCTGGGAATATCTCAACACTACCCAGAACTGCCCTTACTTCCTTCCTGAAGTCTTCACAACATGTCTCTTTCCTTAGTTTCCACCACTTGATCTTCTGCTCTGTCTTCACTCTCTTCCTTTTTGTCACCTCCATCGTCATTTTACACACTACCATCCGATGTTGTTTGGCTACACTCTCACCTGCCACCACCTTACAGTCTCTAATCTCCCTCAGATTACATCTTCTACATAGAATATAATCTATCTGTGTGGACCTGCCTCCACTCTTGTAAGTCACCCTATGTTCCTCTTTCTTTTGGAAATATGTGTTTACCACAGCCATTTCCATTCTCTTTGCAAAATCTACCACTGCCTGTCCTTCTACGTTTCTCTCCCTAACACCAAACCTGCCTATCACTTCCTCATCTCCTCTGTTCCCTTCCCCTACATGACCATTTAGGTCTGCTCCAATCACCACTCTCTCTCTCCTGGGGATACTCTCTACCATCCAATCTAGCTCCTTCCAGAACTTCTCCTTTTCTTCCAACTCACAGCCCACCTGTGGGGCATAACCACTAACAACATTAATCATCTCTCCTTCTACTTCTACCTTCACACACATCAACCTGTCTGACTCTCTTTTCACCTCTACCACATTTCTTACATATTCTTCCTTTAGGATCACCCCTACTCCATTTCTCTTCCCATCTGAACCATGATAAAACAGTTTGTAGCCTCCTCCAATGTTTCTAGCCTTACTGCCCTTCCACCTGGTCTCCTGCACACACAAAATATCTACTCTTCTTCTCTCCATCACATCAGCTATTTCTCTACTTTTCCCTGTCATTGTACCTACATTCAAAGTTCCAAACTTCAGACTAACACTTCTATTCTTCATCTTTTCTCTTTTTCTCCTAACCAAACGCCCTCCTCTTCTTCTCTGTCTCTGACTCTGTCTCTGACCAACAGTAGTCCAATTTCCATCAGTGCCCTGTTGGTCAACGGCACTGTTGGCGGTCGTTGTTAACCCGGGCCTCGACCGATCCGGTATAGAAATCGTTTTATTGATCTGCATATTTGATTTAGCTAAACGTTTTACGCCGGATGCCCTTCCTGACGCAACCCTCACCATTTATCCGGGCTTGGGACCGGCACTATAAACACGGCTTCGTGTACCCTAGTGGCTGGCTTAATTCAGGCCAAGACCATTGATGAGAAAACGAGAAAAGCTTTCTGGCCTTTAGAAAAAAAAACTGGTGATTTATTTTGTTGGTTATAAATATGATCTGAGCAGGACACGGTGTTCTTACAAATAGATTGGAATTTAGAGAAAAATTCTATTAAAATAAATTCCAGATCGAAATCAATCAAGGCATTTTTGTCTTTTACATTTTGAAATATTATTCACTCCCTCACCATCTTTGCACTCATGCCCGGTCCAACCGTCCATGCAGACCTTGGAGCCGCTGTGGTCACAGTTAAAATGGCCGAAGAAGTCGTCGCGGGACCGGCAGAACTTGTTACAGAACGGTCCGTAGTAGTTGGAGTCACAACGGAAGCGGAGACGATATTCCAGGCTGAGAATCCGCCCGTGGTGACGATACGTCTGCCACTGTTCACTGGGGTTCAACATGGAGGAGAGCAGAACTCGCTCAATCAACTGGCCTGAGAGGAGAGAGAGGGGAAGAATTAGATAGAGAAAAGTGATTAGAAGACAAAGAAGAAGAAGAAGAGGAAGAGGAAGAGGAAGAGGAAGAGGAAGAGGAAGAGGAAGAGGAAGAGGAAGAGGAAGAGGAAGAGGAAGAGGAAGAGGAAGAGGAAGAGGAAGAGGAAGAGGAAGAGGAAGAGGAAGAGGAAGAGGAAGAGGAAGAGGAAGAGGAATCTCCTTTATCGTCGTTGTACATTTGAAATGTGTCCTCTGCATTCAAACCATCAACTCATTCACTCAGCAATTTGGTACAACACACCACAACCAGTCATAGTGTATTAATACAGGTTTCAGTATCAAATATTGTTCACTGCTCTGTGAAATATATTTTTGTCAAGTTAAGAAACTCAGCAGCACGGAAGCAGGTAATTTAACTTTTTTAAGCTCCAGTGGGCCACGCAAAATGACTTGGCGGGCCGCATTTGGACCGCGGGCCCTGAGTTGGACACATACTGGATTTGTTGCACAGGTGGCATCCTATGACAGTTCCACGCTGGAATTCACTGAGCTCCTGAGAGCGGCCCATTCTTTCACAAATGTCTTGTTTCACAGTCTGCATGCCTGAGTGCTTGATTTTATACACCTGTGGCCAGGCCAAGGGATTAGGACACCTGATTCTGATCATTTGAATGGGTGGGCGAATACTTTTGGTAATATAGTGTATATAAACTTTATATATTTATAATAACTTTAGATGGCCATTATTCTCTGTCTTACAGTAGAGGATGATGAAGATGAGTTTCCCACCAACACAAGACCTGATGGAGAATGTAATCACAACAACAACAGCAGCAAAGAGAAATGTGAGTACACATGCACGTACTTTCTTAAGTTTCACTGACAAACAGCTACTTTTGGGATGGGTATTTTTTTTAGCGTGTTTTAACTGCTTAATTAAAATTGAATATGTTACATTTTAAACATTAATGTAATTTGCTTTAAAAGTCATAAAAGTAAATTTTAACTTTTTTATGCGCCAGTGTTCCCTCCGTCCAGTCCCAAAGGTATCAATGGCATCGACTTTAAAGGTGAAGCCATAACATTCAAGGCAACGACAGCAGGCATCCTCTCCACCCTTTCCCACTGCATTGAACTCATGGTCAAGCGAGAGGACAGCTGGCAGAAAAAACTGGACAAGGTCTGTTCTTATGCTCAACACGTAAATGAAAATGAAATAACTGTTGTTCACTGTGTAAAAAAAAAAAAACTAGCAGTTTCCTATGTGGGTGTACCCATCACCAATCTGAACTGTGTGTAAGTGTTTCTTAGCCTGAGGAGCAGCAAGAGTTGTTTCTTTCTATTGTGTTTGAAAACGTGCAATACTTTACTGTTTACAGCTGTTACCCTCATTGTAGTGATTGAAACTTCACCCTTTAAATGGGCCTAGAGGTTTTGGTTGAATGATTGGAGTCTGATTCAGGAATCAGGCATCGAATAACAGAAGTCTGTATACCAGGATACATTAGTACAACAGGGTACTGCTTCTAAAAAGAAAAGAAAATGTTTAGAATGCATTAATAAAACAATCAAGGAAAGATTAAAGCAAATACTTTAAAATCAAAGAGTAATACAAATGAAATGGTCATTTTAATTTTCAGTACTTTGTATTTACTTGCTCTTGGTTTACCAACACAATTTCCTTTTCCTAGAAATGCAGCTCAGAGACTGACAGCATAATGCAGATGTATATATTGTGTTTATTATATGAGTTTGTTTTTTAAAGAGAATTAGTGACTTGTTTTCTGCAAAGAAAAGCAAAGTTTTGACCAGTGATGATAACAACAGTTTAATGTTCAAAGGTAAATTTTGGTGTTAACTTGTTGTCCTCACCAATATTAACCTGTCTGAAGTCCCTGCTTTGACAATCGTAGGTCATCTTGTCAGCCGTAGACCTAGTGCCCTGTGCTCAGTGAGGCTGGTGTGACACAAGTCGAAGCCTCCATAAATGCACGCTGGGCCTTGAGATGGTATTTTAAGCCTAAGCTGCTGGATAAACATTGTGAGCAAATTACATCTGTGTATTTAAACAATGGATGGCTAGACAGTGAAATTATTGGATATACATTGTGTGTCATTCTGCATATACGTTAAAATCAAATGTCATTTGTTTTTGATGATAAAAGGAGACTACAGTACATGCTTGGATAGTAGTGGCGGTGTATAGATTTTCAACATATGTTACCTCACTAGATTCTGCTAAATCTAACAAACTTAAATTTCTCTTTTATTTTATTTATTTTTTTATTGTGAATGAAAGAAGCTCCTTACAGCGTACCTGCTTGTGTAATTTTACACCGATCACAACTGCTCACTCTGACATCCTGATTAGCTCAAGTTGTCAAACAGGTTTCTTTCCTTTTTTTTCAGTGTGTAAAGGTATGTTGCCCAACCCTAAAGCTTTCAAAAGCCAGAAAGCTACAGAGTTAGTCAACAGTTTGAGAGAAACTATGTCAGTGCCTATAAGTTTATAGGGAATGTTTGTCAAATTTAGATACCAATGTGGAGTTGGGACATAATTGCTGTCGCACATAGAAACCCTGATCACAGGTAGAAGAGACACCTGCTCCTACCTGCACAGGAATCAAACTAAAGAATGACTACGGCTCGAGGTTTATGGAAGCCCTCGCTGAGAAGGAAGACACGGCTGCTAACGTACTCGACACAGAGATGGATACCTCTACAGACGGACAGCCTTTGTTTTGCAGTATGTCTCTCTGTTTGTTAAATACATCTGGTGACAGGATCACCTACTGTTTACTGTGGCAAGTGTTAAAACGTCCACACCTTTCTTCACACTTGGATTACTTACCTTTGAGTGTTTCTTTCCCGCTTGTTAAGATTAATGGTGTCAATACTTAAAAAAAAAATTATATTGCTTGGGAATATTGCTGTCCTTTTTCAAGTTTGGTTTTCTTTTCGCCGTCGTACATCTTTCTGATTTTGGTCGTCACTGTAGTTCTGCACGGTGGCTGTACCGAGAGTCATAACAATGTCACACCCATCCACTAGATAGTAGGTTTCAGGTGCAAATTCTATATATTGAATTTTTAATTTGCATGTAATTAACTCCATGACATAAACAACACAAATTAAACCAGTATGTGGATTTATGATAAATTAAAAAACACAATAAATGAGAATTCCGGCTCTGATTTGCCTTCTTTCAATTTTTTTCCCCTCTTTTTCCCCTTTCCAACCCCCCATAGCAGTCCATTATGCCCCGAAGGAGGGGCATAATGGACTGCTATGCTATCCATATAGCATGGCATAGCACCATATAGCAGGTGCAAATTCTATAATATATAGCAACCTACTACCTAATGGATGGGTGTGACATTGTTATACCACTATATTTTTTTTGTTTTTTTTTGTTTTCGAGTAATTGGCAGAGGATGGAAATTTTTCTGTTTATTTTTTAAAGATCAAAACAGATACATAGAAATGGTCAATATTTCAACATATTTTAATTAAATGTGTGTTAAAATTGAACTGTATACATAGATATTCAGAAATACCAACATACATAAATGCATATATACAGTAATAGAAATATGAAGGCTTACAGAGACTCCTTCCATTCAACCAAAGTCTGTCCAGGTGCTGGACAGAAACATTTGCCTCTGTGCTGCATATGGCCAGTAACTTTGCTTTTACTTTTTTGTTGTAGCAGGACAAAGAAAGCACAGGAATCAAGAGTGAGTTTGAACACTTTATTTCGAGAGCACAGAACAACTCAACTGTCTAACGACTCAGGGCGCCAAAACATAAGCACCGTAACCACGCCCCCAGTCCACAGTCCTGTAGGGTGAGAGGCCTCCCTTGCAGTGCCTGCCACACAGCCCCCAGCTACAAAACGGGCTTTGTAGCTGGTGGCCGCTGCGGAACGGAACCTTCGGGCAAAAATTTGCACGGGACCCGAAGCGGCTGACCAAAAACCAACTCTGCCGGAGAGGCATTTAGGTCCTCCTTGGGGGCTGAACGCAGGCCGAGCATCACCCAATGTAAACGATCCGCCCAATCACTCCCGGACAACGCCGCCCGCAATGCCGATTTAAATGACCGGTGAAAACGTTCACCCAAGCCATTAGCTTGTGGATGGTACGCGGTGGTGCGGTGGACCTGAACACCCAAGGACACCGCCAATGCCGACCATAATTCAGAAACAAATTGAGAACCCCTGTCGGATGTGATATCTGACGGCGTACTGAAGCGTGAAACCAAAGCTGAAAGAAACACACGTGCCACATCCGCAGAAGTCGTGGAAGACAGAGTTACTGCCTCTGGCCATCTGGTGGTACGATCCACCATGGTAAGCAGATGCGTAAAACCGCGTGAAGGCAGGAGAGGGCCCACTAGATCCACGTGTACATGGTTGAAACACCTGTTTGGTGTGTTGGTGGATCTTGGCCCGCTGACATGCGACACAGGCAGCTGCCCACTCCTTAACCTCTTTGCGGAACCCAGGCCAAACAAACTTGGACCCCACCAGCTGAACCGACGCTTGAACTCCCGGGTGTGACGGAGTGAACCGCGTCAGGAGGCTGGTACCACAGGGCGTGGTTGACCCATTGAGATGTCGCAGAGGAGCTTGGGGCCGCCTTCCAGTACCTCCGCGCTCTCTAACTTGAGGCCCATATCCGCAGACTTGAGGGCTATGACATCTGGATCACTGAGCTGATCCGCAGCCATGGCCTGAAAATCCATTCCGAGATGCACCGGGCACACAAGCACCCGTGACAGACAATCAGCCACAGGGTTGGCCTTCACAGCCACGTGCTGAAAAACGCAAGAGGCTGCCACACACCAGCCACACGCTGTTCGACTACTGCGCCCACAACAACGTAAGATGCATCTGTTGTCAGGGCTATGAATGCCATAGGCACGGGATCTGCATGGGCTGCGTTAGCAAGGGCAGACTTAGCTCCCTCAAATGCCTAAATCCGCTCGGAGCTCCAGTCAACAGGGTCACTGGCTTTCTTGAGTCTCAGGGCCTAATAAAGCGGCTGCAGTAGGTGTGCAGCCCGAGGAAGGAAACGGTTGTAAAAATTAACCATGCCCAGAAACTCCTGCAGTGCTTTAACTGAAACCGGGCGCGGGAATTCTGCCACCGCCTGCACCTTAGAGGGCAAAGGGGCCGCACCTTGTGACGAAATGAGGTGGCCTAAGAAATCGATCACCGGCAATCCCAACTGGCATGTGTTGACAATCAAGCCATGTTCGTCAAGGCGTCAGAAAACCTGTTTCAGATGTGATAGGTTCTTGTCTGCGGATTCACAGGCAACCAAAATGTCATCCAGATAAACGAACACAAACTCGAGGCCACATAACACCGAGTCCATCAGCCTCTGAAAAGTTTGCGCTGCCCCCTTCAGGCCAAAAAGCATACGTAAGCATTCGAAAAGCCCAAATGGAGTAATGACCGCGGTCTTGGGCACGTCTTCTGCACGTACGGGTACCTGGTGATAACCACGCACCAGGTCTACCTTAGAAAAAATAGTGGCACCTGCCAGGCGGACGGAAAAGTCCTGTATGTGCGGTATAGGATTACGATCATGTGTAGTGACATTATTCAAATGGCGGGAATCGCCCCCCGGCCGCCACGGCCCATCTGCCTTAGGCACCAAGTGCAGGGGCGAGGCCCATGGGCTGAACGTTGTACTATTTCCAACCGTTCGATGTTCGTGAACCCCTCCTTAGCCATAGCTAACTTATTAGAGTCGAGACGCCGCGCGAAAACCCCAATAATGGGGACTGTGATAGAGGCGATAACAAAATCCCACTATAAGCTGCTACCACGAAAACAAACAGTCACCGACCTTGAACCAAAAGTCACAATGGAGGACCCATTAGCAGCACTTAGCTGTGGGCCGCTGCCTCGATTTGACAAGTCCATGTCGTCCGGGGGAAGCAGGCTTTTTTTTGTTATCCTGAGTCCTCTAGGAAACGTCGTCCAGATAGTGAGTCTTTAATAAAAAGCAGCTCACCTTGATTGCCCGCGCCCACGGCTGCTACTGAATTCCGGCTCTGGAGTTTCCCGCTGCCTCGAATCGGCATGGCGTGACGCAGCGTTTAGCTTTGTCGCAAAACCGCTGGTGGAAAAACCACAGGTCGTTCCCGCGCCGTCTGCGTGTAACTACCTCCACTACAACCGCTGGATCGTCGCTGTCCGCCGCTGTCTGTATGGGTTCCACTGTCACACTCCTCACCGACAAACTCCTCGTAGCCAACAAGACACGGTCAGCCTCATCAGCTAAGCTCCTGTAGTCGCCGGTGGCCAGATGCGAAGAATTAGACAGTGCTGCACGCACAGACAGTGGAAGCTGACCCAGGAAAATGTGCGGGAACAGGAAACCACCTTCGTCTGAACCCAGCAAAGACAACATATTGTCCATAAGAGCCACAGATGCGCCATCACGCAACCCGGGCAGGGAAAGGACCTTGTCTGTCCTCTCGACGGCAGACAAACTGTACCTCCGTATTAACAGCTGCTTGAGAGCGCCGTATTCCCCGTGTAGTGGTGGGGATCGCTACAACTGCATGACCCGGCGTGTGGACTGCTGGTCGAGGGCTTCGACAACCATGTAGTACTTCAATGTGTTGGAAGCTTCCCGGCCGCTGCCAAAACGACCGGCAGCGAATGTTCGGCTGACATGCTTGAAGAGGAGACACGATCCTCTGCTTCGAACATGTTCAACTCGGGGTCACCAATGTAGCAGGGCGAAGAAAGGGCAGGACTCGAGAGTGGGTTTGAACACTTTCTTCTGAGAGCACAGAAGTTCTGTGCTCTCAGAAAAATAAGTGATGTGTCGTTCGTGAGTGATTCGTTCAAAATGAACGAATCTTTCATATGACTCGTGACTCCCGAGTAATATGAAAGATTCGTGACTCCTGACTACCGAGTCATATTAAATATTTGTTCATATTAAACTCACGAATCACTCACAAATCACACTCTGCGAACTAATCACTCACTGCGAACAAATCACTCTCTGCGAAATAATCTTTCACTGTGAACTAATCTTTCATTGTGAACTAATCTTTTACTACGAACGAAATACTGTCTGCAATCTAATCTTTCACTGTGAACTAATCTTTCACTACGATCTAATTACTCTGCAAACTAATCTTTCACTGTGGACTAATCTTTCATTGCAAACGAATCTTTCGCCGTGAACTAATCTTTCGCTGTGAACTAATCTTTCGCCGTGAACTAATC